GTATTTATGGTATCTTCATTGACTGATGTAGCTAGAAAGATATGCAAAGAAACAAGTTGAGGAAATATCGACTCTATGTGCTTGTATGCCATTAAAATACGAAAAATATCTTTCGATATATTGTCATATGATTTTCCATGTCTTTCAAAATGATTTGTGACGATTGATTTTGTCATACTATCTACAAACAAATCTTTTTGAGAACATCGACCAGAACTACCTAATTTGAGAACAGTAAGACCGAGACGCCATTGCATCATAGTTGGTACTTGACGACAAAGAAAACGACAAGCTGGCAATGAACAATGACGTAAATCTAATTGTTTGTAAAGTCCATGAAATTCTAATAATAAAGAATCAATACGAGTGTTAAGATTTGAAAAACTGTAGATGACATCAGTAGATGATAATTGATCCGAGATACAAAGGATAACCTCATTTGACATGTGTTCAAATTGCAGCACCACGTAAAGAAAGGTTAACATTCAAACAATTATATAAATGAAACATAACTGTCTCCATATATGTAAGTTTTGAATAGATGAGCGAGTGTCTTTATGAATGAAGAGAAAGATATTTTTCTTTCCAATCGATAAAAACAAGACAATATTGATGGACTGTGACCAATCACAAATAAGAGAACGAAGTGATTTTTATTTGACCGTTAATAACAAAAATATGGAGCTTATTTCAACTGTTATTAATATATCATCACAATGAATATTTTAAGATAGTTTTGTTACAAACTAATCAAAATACTGAATAATAAATAAGGTCAATTAAATTTGAACATTAAATTTATAGCTGTTAAATTTTTTTGTCTTGTTCTCATATGTAACACTATTTTCACTTTTTTTTTCTGTCTTTAAACAGAGCTGCAGTAAAATGAATACTAACTTAAACTTATATCCTATATTTTTCTTTGTAAAATATGTGACATTCGCTAAATTTTGTAATTGAAAAAAAATCAAAGACGTACAATGGTTAGAAAGTTACCAATTTATTTTTTGTTCTATAAATGTACTTACAATGGAGGTATTTGCACTGTCTGTCAAAAAAGTGGCACATGTTCGGGTCAAATGAAAGCTCTCAATGCCAAACTAACAAGGTTAAAATATTAGCGGCCCTTAGCTTGCCTAGAGGGAGATATTTAGAATTTAAGTTTAGGTATAAAAATGAATCAGGAAAGGTTTTCTCCACTATTATAAGGACAAAACACAGTATTGTTCGGGCCGATTATGTGGTTTGTAGGGATCCTCTTTCATATGGCCCGAATAAGACTATGTTCTGTCCTTATAATAGTAGAGTGAATTCTTCCTGCAGCTCATGGAAAAAGTTTTTTTCTATTAGTCACTAAGAAAATTTACTCCGCTATTATAAGGATAAAACATGGTATTGTTCCAGCCATATGGAAGAGGATCCCTACAAACCCTATAATCGATCCGAACAACACTATGTTTTGTCCTTATAATAGCGGAGTAAATTTTCTTAGTGACTTGTCGAAAAAACTCTTTCCATGAGCTACAGGAAGAACTCACTCTACTATTATAAGGACAGAACATAGTCTTGTTCGGGCCATATGAAAGAGGATCCCTACAAACCACATAATCGGCCCGAACAACACTGTGTTTTGTCCTTATAATAGTGGAGAAAACATTTCCTGATTCATTTTTATACCTAAACTTAAATTCTAAATATCTCCCTCTAGGCAAGCTAAGGGCCGCTAATATTTTAACCTTGTTAGTTTGACATTGAGAGCTTTCACTTCACCCGAACATGTGCCACTTTTTTGACGGACAGTACAAATACCTCCATTGTAAGAACGTCAGCCTTGCGTAGATAGAAAGTGAGTATTTTTTTTCCTATTCAATAGTTCTATTAAAATTCTAAGTCAACAGGAAAATAGTTTCATAATATCTTTTCCAAATACCTCCATTGAGAACTCATTTGATGGACCGACTGCTGATCAATCCAATTTCAATATGATTCAATGACCCCAGGTTTCTATGATGTTCCTATCAAAAGTTATTCAAAAACTAGTGGAGTAAATATTTTTTTAGATGAATAATACATGAGGAAAAAGAAAAGAAACGAAAACTAATTTAATCTTTTCTACTCATAAAATGCTCTATGGTTATCCAAAGAACTAAATAAAGAAAAAAGAGTAAAGTACTCAAGCTAATTCGCCATTTCTCTTATGATGCTGTGAAACTATTAGCAAAGTTAAGTGACGAAAATAAATAGTAACCAATATATCATTTTATCTCTTTCTGCTCATAAGATGCTTGACAACTAGGAGAAGAATTAAGTAAAGAAAAGAAAACTAGCCTAAACCAAATTATTCGATTTCTTTCATAAGATGCTGTACACTCCAATATTTGTGGTGCCTACGCACTAGCCAGTATACATGATCTTATGTGACAGAACAAACACAAAGGTTTCCTATATGGGATTCAGTTGACATTCTTCTTGCTATCCGAGTAGATGTCCTAAGACAATTAAACTAGAACAGACAGCCTAAACTCAGTGTAACATCTGAGTGCATCATCATCAATGCTAATAGATGTTCGACAACTATCAGAATAACTAAATGAAGAACAGAAAACTAAGCCACATGATATTATGATCTATTTCTTTTATTAATACTGGATAGCGGTGAGTAAGACTATATTATGAAAAGCCCATTAAATATTCTATTCTTGTGCTTAGAATAGCAAATCCTTTTGATGAAAAGGTAGAATAATCAATCCTATTGCTGAAATCGCAGAATAATGTACCCGATGCATTCAAAAATAAATCCTTGTCACAAAAAAATTAAATAATAAATCATTTTAATATGTATTAAATAACTTACATTCTCATATACCTTTCGGCTTGTCCAAATATAACCGCGTTACATTTTTGACATACTTTTTTCAATTATCTCAAAAATTTTTAAAGCTACTACATTTGTTCAAATACTATTCGATGCAGCTGATCATACTCTATTTATACTACAAGAATGACTTTCTTGACTGAAGGCTTGGGCTGCTAGAAAGATTTTATGGTTGCGTGCCGCTGTTGCATAAAAAAGACTCTTTCTATTCAGTACCGCTGATAGAACTTTGATTTCTTGAGAAAGTATTTCTTCAAATCAACGGCTTCTAGAGCCAATTTTCTGGATCCTCGAGCACGCTTTTAATCGATAGAAAAGATTTTCTCAAAATTATTTTTGCTCAAATAACAAGTTCAAAAAACAAACATTGCACTATTAAACAGTTTTTCATCAACCAATTTTGAGTCATTGAACGTGCTCAAGAATGTTTGACTTTCATAAATATTTTTCTTTTCTCTACATCCAATCATTCTATGCAAGAATCAAATTGTTACACCAAAACAGGAGCTTATTAACTACACTGTCAGTTAGAAACTGTGCAAGAATGTGCAAGTTGTCCTTAGCGATGAAAGTCAAAATTCAAAAGGGTCTTTTGTAGAAAATTAAATTATACATCCAATAGTATGTCACTCATCATTTTTAGAAAAAATCCTGGTTAAGAAATTCAAAATACAATTTTTGAAAACTTTAAAATTCGATTTTTGATGCCAACGCCTATTCTTTTTACAGAGCAAATGTCAAATTTGTAATTAGAGTGAAAAATCGCACTGTGGCGTTACGTGGACAAGTTACTTCACTGTGATAAATCCTTCTGTTCATCAAACTTTGATGAGTATGTGATATCGACATAAACTCTTTTAAGACTTATAAAATATTTTTTTCTAGTGCCACATTTGATTATTCCGCCGTATTTTGTACAGTGTAGAAATATCTCTCATTGTATATTTATTACAGCAAACAGATGGAATTATTTTGTTTAAATAATTTATCGAAAATAGAGGACAGATTGGAGTAATGAATACTTAAATGGCATTTGTTGACTCAAAAAAATAAAAATAAGGTTTTTGTTGTTGCTGTGCTACAACATTCAAATTACGTGAGAAAACAAAGAAAAAGGAGCCATTCCTATTGCCATTTTAAATAACATCACGAACGACATTCTTTTGAAGAAAAATCTCGAACGAACAATAGCTAAGATTTCTCTTAGTTGTTGTTGTAAGTAACACTGACTTATTTATGGTCCACTTGGATTTTCAGATAATAGTCAGATGTATTCGGAAATTGATGCCAACCCTCAAGCAATGGAAGTCGATTGTAATCAGCAAGGAACAGTCGTAAAGCAAACATATACCGAACAGGCATGGTGTAAGATATTTTGACAACCATGTGTTTTTTTCATTCGTTTAACAAAAGCTTCAAGGTTAAGTTTGAAAATCTAATACGTTTGAGATGATTGTTTTTATAGAAATGAAAATGTCCGCTTAAGATTGTATCTGATAAATATCATTCTGAAATATGTAGTATTTGTAAGAGTCTTTCTCAATTGACTGTATTGAAAGCAATCGATAATATTATGGTTATATTTGTCGAGAAGAATATTGACATCGTTCAATTTGTTTTCAGTTGGTAGACAACATTCTGGTGCGACGATTGAAGAAACTATCAAATATGATGCTAGCGGTTTAGTTAGTGCAGTAGAATACATATACGACGAACTATAAGGTAGTCCTAATAATGTGCAACGTTATCAAGAAACAATTACCCGTCAAGATTATGATAGATTGGCTGCATCACTTCAACGACCATCATTACCTTTTGATAGTTTCATTAGAGTGCTTCGACCGTTTATGAATTCTTTCATCAATATCGTGATAAAATTCAAATTGAGAATTTAAACAAAACTAACGATATCTTATTACTATTGAACGACAGTTATGATAGGTCAACAAACATTTAAAGATATACCTGAAGCATTTCGTCTTTTAGATACAGATCAATCGAGCACTATTGACATTGGCGAACTGGCTATTTTTATGCCCATCCTTCGATCAGAAGCGACTCCGTATATGCTTCTTCGTCATATTAAATTATCCGATAAAGATGGAGATTACGAACTGAACTATGATGAATTTAATGCATTGCTTTTGGCTGGACTGGGACAAGATATTATTCTCGGACGTACCTGAATCTCGAACTTTGCAGAATAAATGTTTTGTGAATAGTTTTATTTCAGTCGAAAAATATATGCGAGTATCACCAAAGAACACAAGTGCCAGATGAAAATATGTCAAAGTAATTGAATGAAATCTGAAAAGAGGAGAAAGAACAGTGTAGGATGATCATGTGCAGATGACATGTCGAGAAAGTTTAATGTAATTTTTCAAATAGAAGCTTACACAATTAATTATAAAATGGCTTATGGAGATTTTTTGTTTTTTGTTGTTAGTTATGTTAATTTTAACAATGATGAAACAATTTGGCAAAGCATATCTACTGAGAAATCAGGAAAATGCTTAAAAAAAATAACAAAATATCATCTCGACAATAACTACAATCATTAATAATAAAAGTGTGACAGATATGAGCTTCTCAAGATCATTGAAAAAAATTCAGAAATAGTTCTTCTGAAGAATCATTGGAGATTTTATATATCAAAAATCCCGTAATGAGTTTTCTGTCTTCATTAAACTTCTTTATTCTTGAAAAGTAAAATTTCACATGAAAAAAACTTTCGCAAGCACTTTTTGTTTTATGACAGAAAGAAAAAAAAACATGTGCAGCAAAGATTTGAATGAATCTCTCATTTTCAAAATAATTAATAGGTTTAACAATAAAAATATATTTGCTGTACTGTCATTTACGTATTATGTAGGAATTCGAGCAAATGCATCGAAGTTTATGTGTGTCGAGAATCATCTTATGTTCGAGTAAAAATTGTGGAAAATAAATGTTGAACAGTGTGCTTTTGATCTTAGTACACAAAGGCTACATTTATGAGATGACATATCTTAACTTCATGACATCTTTTACAATAATTTCAGCTCAAAAGAAAGCCTGAAATGCAAGAAAATTTTGTATTTTTACTTGAAAAATCATTTCTTACAAAGCTATTGGCCATTCAGTTATATCAAGTTTCGGTATTAACTCAATTGATGCTCCTCTTTTCTTATCTGGTTTCTTTTCTGTAGATAAATTGGACAGCTAAATGAGAATGAGTGAGAAGGTGAGGAATAGAAAGGAATAGAGATGTACAAACGTTTTTAATACGAATCCCAAACGTGAGCAATCGATTAGTCAAAATACTAGAAAATGAAAACCAAATTCTTACCATGGTAGAAATGATGCTTATCATGTGTCAGCATCCGAAGGAGAATCCTTTATGAGATCTATGTCAACCATGTATTATATTATTCATGAAAAAACACAGTTTTGGTTTCTTTTAGACTGAGTCGGTATAATGATCCAGCAGGATACAAACACATCGTGGTCTTTGTGATTTTCACGAAGATTAATTGGATTTTGGTATGTGATTTGCACATCGATTATTTGTACGTTTATCATCGCTGATTCAATGTACAATCTGCTTATCCTCTATCGATTGTTCAGAATGAAAGTCTGATTAAGAACAGTGTGGATGTGGGTATGACGAGTAGCTGTCGCGAAAGCATCTGCCCGGGGAACATCTATCATAGAATTCTTTTAGAAATCGATTGTATTCACCTGTCGATATCGAAAGTTATGTTTCTTCAATCTCATATCAATAATAACTTGTTTTCGTCAAACAACGTTTATCTATTTGCAATCTATGAGTAATTCTTTTGGTGATGAATTTTGTTTTGCATCCCCGGCTGCAATATTCGAAGACAAGAATCATGTTCTCGATTTGAATTTATGACATCGTTTTTGCCCGTATTCAGCATTATAAATAGGGATCACTTAGGACAGTATTGGTACTTTAAAAAGACATTGTTGTTGAAAAATGGCGAAATATACAATCAATAGGTACTACATTTTCAATAAAACAGCAATTTTTCGAAGTGAACATTTTTGGTGCCTTCATATTTCAATTGAGTCTACATAAGAATAAAGTTGTATTGAAATCCGTCATATCAATGGAACACATTATCCAAATTCCGATATTATCCACAGAACAGAAAACTAGAGTGAGAATGTTAGGATTAGTCAATATAAGAAAATTGACATGTGTTTACTGCACTAATGTGAGGATGACTATAATGATACTCAATGATAGAGGCATTTGTCAGTACTCTCTCCATCCACACTTATCTGCAATGTACACCCTTATAAGAGTGTAATTTTCTTTTTCAACAAAATTCACAACCCACATCCACACCTACACCCAGAACGAACGAATCAGTTGATTTTTTTCAAGTGAAAGCTATTCAACTTTGTTCAAAAATTTCATTCCATGATGTTTATTGAGAAAGAATATAATCAAATGTGTTCTTAGCATTCTCTATAAATAAGTTCATCAGCTATCTCCTATTCAAACGATTATAGTTGTCTAAAGACAATGTCTCTGCTCAGTTCCAACTTGATCATTTAGCAGAATTCGAATCAATCAATTTAGGTGCTTCGATTTGTGTCGCCTAAACGCATGCAAACATCAATATACAGCATAAGAAAGCAATAATTAGAGGTATATAAAATTTGCCTTTTTTTTTCACTAAAAACTACTTGAGGGCAAACGATTGCCAAGAAGACTCAGAATTCATCAGCTATAATCATGTCATCGGTCACATATTAACTGCTACCGTATTTTCCTTTTGTTTGTTGCTCGAGAATATTGAAAGCTGCGCTGATGACTAACTAGTATTCCTATTGATCAGTTAACGTGAAGACTTTCAAGACACGAAAGAAATCGGTCCATGGCAAGTTCGAAGTTGACGTGTAAGTACGTACTATAGCACAAGAAGTCAATAAAATACCATATGGTGATAGCTTAAGAATGTGTTATACTTACTGCTATTGTATTCGTGCTCAGTTATCATTCGATATTAGACATGTATGTTGTTTTCCAACAGTTCGATGCTGACACTCGTGACTCGACCACCGGAGGTGCTCTGCATGTATATCTAGAAACGAGCTTCGATCACATTGAAGATAGATGGAAGGAGAATGTTGCTATTTGTTTCATTAAATGTAACAATTAGGAATATCATGAAGGAACTTACTAGGCTGCATCAATGGCGAAGCCAATGACATGCCAGATATATCTGATATTTTATACGAGTAAACAAGATATTCGGTTTACTTTGATCTGTAATGGAATCAGAATACCTTACATCCGATACGAGCAAAACCGTAATTGATGAGACTAAATGACATTATTTTTCGTTAACTTACTGTTTATCTACGGCAACATCATAACATGAAATAAAGTGAAAGCCACATGCCAGCGGCGGCAAGCGATCAACAATATGAAACAAATGATTTTGAGTATGTAGACTTAAGTAATTCAAAGTCTTCTTTTCACTCTTACTACTGCACAGCTATATCTAATCAGTACAGAAGCTCGTATTTTATCATACTCTCTGTACTAAAAATTCTGTTAACTATGCCGACGGTGATAATATCCATATCAAATTTGTCAAAGCGTCTAGGACAAAGAAAGTTCTGTCATTATTCAGTAATGATCAAGAATTTGAATATTTAAATTTACTGCTACTCCCCTGATCTATCTCATCTTTACGTTGACTCTTGAGAATTAAACAGATTAGATCTATGGTGATTATTTCACTTGAACATACATCATACTATTCATGTTTTTTGTAATGATAATGTGGTCCAATAGACCTTAAATTACGAAGATAGAAGAAAGATCTCTATTCTATTTCACTGTTGTTGTCTTCTCTAGAGAATAAAAATGACTTCAAGAATTTTTTTTTCATTCATTTTATTATTGATTCAATGAAGTTGTTTTGTAAACGTTCATTTCTAAAAGTTACTAATAGAAGTGACCAAGTATCATATATTTATTTTCATTGGTTACTATGGGTTGTGCATTCTCAAACGACATAAAAAAGACGGGAACTGTAAAATTTTGCATAAGAAAAAATGACATGCTGATTGGCATTGACAAATGTATCTTATGATAACACATTATCGTCCAGTAACTTTTTCACTTAGATTTGCAGCGTTTGCCATAGTGAGAGATGACGATTTAGTATACAATTTTGACTTAGTTTTTATGACCATTAAATAAACGGTCATCTCGTTTGATTTCTCTTAGAAATTTTTTCCATTTAGCTCTCATGTGTCTCGTTTTTTTTCGATTCTCTAGCAAGTTTGATGGCACCGACATGCAATTATTAACAGTGAAGTGAGACAAAAGGTGACCATTGACCAAATGCAATGTCAATTTACCTCAGATCAATGATCAAAGATCTTACTCAGTAGATTTTCACATTTATTTTTAAGTAGGAATTAAAATCATTGATGTTCTTATGAGAAGAGTCGCTTTCGTTGATTCTTTATTTTATAAATGGTCTACTATCTACTAGAAGAGAAAAACAAACTGCGTCAACTCGATGAAATATTTGTTTAGTTTTCTTTATGATACTTTTGGAAATATTCGATATTATAAGTTTGAAGCCGTCCCGAGAGTTGATCCATGCACAATTTCTTCTCTTACGATGAGTCTTTTTCCTCGACTTGTTTCGACTGACGTTCATAGTCGAGCCATTTTACTAACGCAGTTAAAGTTTCTTTTGCATATACACGAGTGAACCATTCGGAAGGAATCGTTTTATAATATAGTGCACCACCGACTTGAAGATAGAGTGTAACAATAAGTGTCTGATTTGAATCATAAGGATTGAGCCATTTGCATTCTTGTTCTGCCGATTGATTGAAAGTGAGCGCTTGTTGGACACCCTGTTTAATATCATTGTTATCGTTTTGAAGAACATCGATCAATTTAATCAAGGCAGTACTCATAGGATCACATTGACCTATTGGAATATGAATTGACTGGAGTATTTTCTCTTTTGCTTGGCCGTTAAGAGCGCTGACAAGTAGTTCAATATAGACGACAAAGATTTCTATAGATATCTCTTGACCAAACATTGCTCGAATGCAGTTGGTAATTACTTGAAGACGGATTGAAGGTAAATGATTCGCATAGAAGTAGGCAATGGGTGAAATGCGAAGAAGAGCAGCCGCTGGAGGTGGTGGAGGAGCTGTATAACTTTTCTCATCAGTGATCACTCCGATAGAGTCAGCAGCTTGAACAATACTCATTTGTTCAATAGTCTGTTTAATATGCACATGTGGAGTGAAACAGACACCCGTTGGCGACATGAAACTAAAATGTCGAAATCACATTTTTATTGAAATATTCAATTGAGAAAAATAATATGTTCTTACCCATTCATCCACCAATTCATATATTGTTGAGCTAGATGTTCTCTTGAATAACCTCCATAATGAGTCAAACTAACAATAAAACATAGTGTAAGTGAAATATCATCTGACCAGGCTAAACACAAATCCGTTTGATCAGAGCATTCACGTTCTAGTTCGATATGATCGAGAAGATAGGTTTCAATCGAATAGTTACTTAGATTGTCTCCCAAGGTTAAGCAAAGGATGGATGCCAGAAGACGATCATTGTTGTTGCTAACTGGAGGGTTCACTGGCGACATCTGAGCTGGAAGAACCTGCATATCGACCATCCAATCTTTACTAATAGGATCGGACGACATTATTCTTGTTCTAGAAACAACGTGCGTTTTGTCGAGTAAAGAAACAAACAAAATGTGTCGAATGAATAGCCTATGATAAAATATACATTTTATCTCTTCTCTTTGCTTGCTTTTCTTTTTCTTAGTGTGTTAAAATGCGGATGACCTTCGAGTTCCTAACTTCTTTAACATTATCTTACGCTTTTTTAGTGAGCACACAAACACTAGAAACTTTCCGTAATGCAACACTTGCATAATGTATTCCCTAATTTGATGTTACAAACTCACCTAAGTTAATTTTCAACAGTGAAAAAAAGTATATTTGTTCTCATTGATAATGCCATGAAACAATTAAATGATGAAGTACAAAAACAAAAAATAATCTTCGTCAAACAGAACACATGAGCCAATGCATTCTCGTTATCATGTTGATTTTTATTTTCTTACTTTTTTTTGATTCTTTTATTGAATGATATTGTCGACAAGAAAATGGTGCTTAATCAAGAACAAGTTCAAGAAAACGTTGCTAATGCTTGTAGAAAGAAATAGATAATACGCAGGATATCTTGGGTCAGGATTCGAGTTTTTCCCGAATGGATTCGCCCCGTATACCTTTCCAACCGAGATAAACATCCTTCCAAGTCGATTTTCGCAAGATCCATCCATCCCGACCGTTCCTTGCAAACTAAACCCTTCCTGAGACCCGAAAACCGCTTAAAACGACAAAAAAATGCAGTAAAATATGACGGAATTCCGTAGGACCTGTCGTGATTCGCTCAGAAGACCTTTCCAACGTAACAATAAAACTTTTCAAGTAGATCTTGATGCGCTCTACCTAATGGATACCCTTTGAGTTCGATATGATGCTCTGGACCCTTGGACACTGGCCAAACCAAGGCTGAATTTTTCAGGTTTTCCCATAACCCGTTATGAATCGCTGAGAAACCCTTTTCAACGCAATGATAGAACTTTCCAAGTAGATCTTGATGCGCTCTATCGAACGAATACCTTTTGAGAACGATATCATGCTCTGGACCCTTGGATAGTGGCCAATCCAAGGTCGGAATCGCAAGTTTTGCCACAAGCCTTTATCAATCGCTGAGAAAACATTTCCAACGTAATGATAGAACTTTCCAAGTACATCTTAAGGCGCTCTGTCGAATGAACATCTTTTGAGATCGATATAATGCTCTGAACCTCTGGAAACTGGCCAGTTCAGGGCCGAGTTCCTCAGGTTTTCCTACAAGCCGTCGCGCTTGGTCCGAAAGACCTTTCCAACTCAGTAATTAACCTGTTCAAGTGGATCTCAGCAAGGTGTATCGAATGCATACCTTTTGAGCGCGGTTTCGTGCTCCCGTTAAGGAGAACGCGGCCACTGGCGACGCGGATCCTCACGTTTTTTTTGTAAAAGCTGTCACGATTCGTTTCAGAGACATTTCCAGTTGAATGATTGACCTCGCCACGTAAATCTGGACTACATTCATCGTACTCATTTTTTGTCATGCTTGCCTCCATGCTTTTTGGTAGTGAAAATCATCGAAAGTCTCAGAACGCGCATATTTTTGCAGGAGTCTCGTGAGTTTTAGCCCTGCACTGCTTGTGACAATATTTTTGTTACCTGAGTTATATGTGATTCGATTGGCCGCAATTCATACTGATTTTACAAGACAATCCTAGTAAAATGGTTTCGTAGTCGTACAATTGTGTTCCGTTATTTTCACTTGTTTAAGTAGTTTTAACATGTTTTTCTTTTTATCGATCCCAGGTCGAATGGTAAGGCTTCGGTAAGCGTACGGCACAATAGAAGATTCAGTACGTGTGCGGTACACAAACGAAATGCGTACCGCATGTTAGATGTATATCTTATACGTACCACGAACAACTCTCCGATAAGGAGGATACTTAATCAAACTACGGTTGTACAAGATCATATAAAGAAAGGAAGACCGTTAGATTTATTTATTGGTTTTTTTCTCAAAGAAACCAACCCAATTTTTCCCCAAAATTGAATGATCTTGTTGTTTAGTTTTTACATAAAATAACTAGAAAGTATCTCAGCCTTCCTTTCGATATCTCGAAATCTTATAGAATGTATTTAATTACTTTTTGAAAATTCATCTTTTTTTTTAAATATGGCTTTCAATTTATTTTACCTGAATTCTGTGAGATTTTCTTCTTGTATTTTATTGTATTCAGCAAAAAAAATAAATTGAATTCGAAGTAATTCTCATTATTTCTTTATTTTAAGGGGAGGTAATAGAAATTTAATATACTCTATTTTTTTCATTGATTACACAGAATTAAAGAAATTTGTACTATGAAATTCGCTTTGCATTGAAGATAAAAATGAAATATTGCTATTATAATGAAGTTATATATGTGAATTATTTTTTCATTGATATAAGCTTAATATTATTATTTTATTTGACTTAAATAATGTATTTTGACAAAACGATGTTTCATTTCAAAACAATGTAAAATGATTTTAAGGGCTCACTTTAATTTACAAACATTAAATAATTCATAAAAAAACACATGCAGTTGTAAATTAAACTAAAATTAATTTTTATCTGTTTTACTTTATTTAAATTAAAAAATTAATTAATCAAAAACATTTATTTACCATTAAAATATGATAAAATTATTGTAGCTATTTTATACCTGTCAAGAATAAAAAAAAATACTTTTTTTTTGTAATTTATTTTATTTATAATTATGTTATGATAGACTTAACATTATATCTGATTTTACAATGATATAAAATATTTTAAGTTTTTCTGTATTAAGATACATTTATTTTCAGGCTAGCCATTCTAACTTAATTTAATTTATTTACAAATTATTTTTTAAAATTCATACTTTCATTAATATTTGCTGTAACGGTTAACTCTATCACTCTGATCTAGGGATGCAACGGTGACGATTCGTCACCGCTTGATCGTAGGAATCGGTAACCGTTGAACCGATAACCGGTGAACCGGTAACCGGTATGAACCGGTAACTGGTGAACCGGTAACCGGCCTGAACCGGTAACCGGTGAACCGGTAACCGATAGGAACCGGTAACCGGTGGACCGGTAACCGGTATGAACCGGTAACCGTTGAACCGGTGACCGGTCTGACCCGGTAACCGTTCAACCGGTAACCGGTTGAGACCGGTTACCGGTTCACTTGCATAGTAGTTTATGTTTAAAACTATATTTTGATATAAAGCAGGTATCCATAATTAGGGGTGGGAAGTTACCGTTACCAGTTACCGACGAACGGGGTAACGGCCATACTATTGCGGGATACCCTTGGGTCCTCAAGTCCTACTATTGGGGGCACCTTTGAGTCCTCAAGTCCTACTATTGGGGGGTATCCTTGGGTCCTCAAGTCCTACTATTGGGGGTACCTTTGGGTCCTCAACTCCTATTATTGGA